TTCAGAGATCACACTTCAGAGATCAAACTCCATGATTGTACAATAATCTCACACAGACACCTCTGGAAAAGTTTGTGTACGGCTGTAATAGGTGTAAAAGAAAAATCATAAAGAGGACCAAAGAAGAATATTTAGCTGAAGTCCATCATGGGTAGTTGCTTATGAAAACAGTAGTTAATGTCAAGAGTAATATCTGCGACTCCACTCTGAAAATGCACTATAAACTATAATATTTATATGGGCCTTAATTAGACAAAAACGGTCCTTTTTATGCAGTGCCTCTTTGCCTTTCCAAAGGGCACTTTCACATTGTATGTGTTGCCATGGTTATAAGAAGGGAGCGTGGCAGATCCTTGATAGTCATAATTGCTGTGTATTTCTACACAAAGACTCAAGGTTTCTTCATCCAGAATCTGCCAGGGTTTTTTTGACCTCATAAACATGAACGTAAATTATTTTATTCAATTTGGCATTGTGATGGATGAAACAGAAATAGAAGACAATCAAAACTGAATGACAGATTGATTCCTCCTCCTCTGCTGTTGCAAGGAAAACCTAGCTGCTTTGCCATGAAGCCATAATTTCTACAAGGGATCGTATTTTCTGGAATTTTTAATTTTAAAAAAATCACATTTCAACAGCTCATACAGAACAGGAGCTTTAAAAAGCTTTTAAAAGTCTCTCAAGCCACTGCTCTGCTTCTCATACTATCAAAGGCGCAGTCTGTTTCTCAGAATAAAGAGTGGAGGTTATTGGAATTGGAGTGCAGAGCTAAGATTTAAATTCATTCCAAGCCTGGGGTGGTGGCATTCAAAAATGCAGCAATTTTGTTTTTCACCCTGGCTAGGGTGCTTATTTCTCATTACAAAGTTGGAACTTACTCCATTCATAGCACCTTCCCCTTGGCAGCAGCCGAAAAGTTGTAACGAACAGCAGTGAGACTGTTGGCTGGAATGAGCTATAGTGGGGGAAGGCAACTTTTTTGGCCCGAGTGCCAAATGAAACACAACATCTACCTGTGAAGATGTTTGTGTGCCGGCAAACAAAAGGGAAGAAATGAGTGTTCTGCCAGACACAGAGATGGTTCCATTGGAAGGAGGAGCACGGTGGTGGCAAGTCCAGCCCGTTAGAGAAGCAGCCCGCAGCCTCCTTAGCCAGCCTGCACAGTACAACACCCAGTGCTCCGGCAAGGCTACTGGCAGTCACTGGAGGTGGGGGTCAGAATAAGCTTCAGGTGATGACATCACAGTTCTAGGTACTGAAAAAATGTTCCAGAGCTTTGGAAGGTCTGTCCTGATCTGGCTCAACTACACTACTGCTTTTTGGACGGAGCAAAGGTGCTGCCTCACCAAGCCAAACAGTCTGCTGTATCAAACCAGGATTTGGGAGACCCAAGTTCAAATCCCCGCTCTGCTGGGTGACCTTGGACCAGTCGTACATCTTCAGTCTAACCTACCTCACCCTCACAGGGCTGTTGTGAGGATAAAATGGAGGAGAGGAGAATGAAGTATGCCGCTTTGGGTCCCGATTTGGGGAGAAAGGCGGGGTATACATGAAGTAAATAAATATTTGGAATACATGTAGGGGGTTGCCTGCCCTTGAAGTATTGTGCACATATCTGTCCTGATCTGAAAGAATATCCCCGGCTACCAAATAATTTCCTAGCACAATCCAAGGGTTGATTCTGATCTTTAAATACGGAAGAAGTCTGTTACTTAAAAGATAGCCAGTTTTTTTTAATGGACCTACACAGCAAGTAAGATCTTTTACGCATGCTCTGTTCTGTGTGCTCCTACCATCAGAATTAAAGTGGATGGAGACCAGGAAAAGGACATCCTTGGCTGTGGTGCCTCACCTTGCAATTTACCTCCACTCAGCTGTTCAGTCTTCACCAAGCTTATTGAATCTTAGGCACTAGACAAAACATTCTTATTTTCCCAGGCTGTTTGCTGATTCCATTGCTTTTATATTCTGATTTTACTGATTTCTTTTTCTGTTCCAGTTTCACTTCAGTTGTTACTTTTGATTTTACTATGTATTTTGCTAATTTTAATGATTTCATAGCACTGGACTTTTAATGATAATCTTTTATGGTGCCTTTTGTGGTTCTGCAGTAGAGATTTGGACCCTGATGTTCTATTGTCCATATTTTATATATAGTAAAACCAGAAATCAGCCCTGGAACCCTTTTATTAGTCTGCTGTTTGTTGCCATTTTATAGTATTTTAATTATTTTGATGGGAAGCTGCCTTGGGAGCTTTTGCGTTGAGAGTACAGGACAGAAATGTCTTATTAAATGATCCATGGGCAGCATCAGTAGTGGATGAAATTGGGTATTGGCCAGGCTGAGCGCCGAAGAACAGATTCTTTTGAACTATGGTGCTGGAGAAGACTCTTGAGAGTCCCTTGGACTGCAAGAAGATCAAATCAGTCAATCCTAAAAGAAATCAACCCTGACTGTTCCCTGGAAGGCCAGATAATGAAACTGAAGCTCAAATACTTTGGCCACCAAATGAGAAGGGAGCACTCACTGGAGAAGACCCTGATGCTGGGAAAGACTGAAGGTCAAAGAAGACGGGGACGGCAAAGGATGAGATGGTTAGACAGTGTCATCGATGCAACGAACATGAAATTGAGCAAACTTCAAAGGATGGCGGAAGTCAGGAGGGCCTGGCTAGTCCATGGGGTCGCGAAGAGTCGGACTCGACTGTGCGATTGAACAACAACAACAGGCCCAGAGAAGTGCCATAAAGTTGTAGTGCTTACGACTGATCACTGCCAACCTCTTCCCTGATAGTGTACACACATGGGTTTATGAACTTCCATCCATGTTACCAGCTGGAATCTTACACATGAGTCACAGCTCTATAAATATATTAAATAAGAATTGCTACCTGGATATATTAGTGTCCACCCTGCTGGAAGCCCCTTCTCCTAGTGTCAGATTTTCTGAGACTGGATGTAGTTACGCGATGTTACAGGAAAAGACTTTGTACATTAATGCCTCTGATGTCCAGGGCGATAGCTTCCCTTCTTTGTTAGGTTGTGTGTATTGGAGGTTTACTTTTCCAGATGGATTTAAAAGCAAAAACATGGGCACCAATCATTTCATTATAACCAACAGAAACACTACAATCCTATCTCTGCCCCCAAATATCTGTGTAATTACCATTATCTATTTGAGTCAGATCCTCATATCCCTACTAGACGTCACATGGTTCTTGAGTTCACCATGGGATACCTCCACCATTTTAGGGTAGGGATCTTTGTTTACAAAAGCCATGGAGGCCCATTCCTGATCAGGACCATGGTACAGGGGGAGGAAGGGGTCCTGTTCCCCCTCACAGTATTTTGAGGATCCCAAACCCCCAGAATTTGGGCTGTTGGAAATGGTGTGTGTGGGGGGGGAAACAGGTGCCCCTCCTGTCCCCATGTTATGATCCTGACCAGGAATGGACCCCTATGGTTTTAGTAAATGAAAGGAATTTCATCCACCAAATGGCAGAGGTGTCCCCATGGTGAACTCGGGGACACTGTCACATCTAGTTGTGCTCTCAGTAGACCTACTTAGGATTGCTCTCAAGAACATAAGTAGAACCCTGCTAGATCAGACCAGAGGTCCATCTAGTCCAGCATCCTGCCTCACGCTGTGGCCAACCAGTTACTCTGGCGAGCCAACAACAGGGCATAGAGGCCGAGGCCTCCCCCTGATGTTGCTGCCTGGCTCTGGGATTCAGAAGCTTCCTGCCTCTGAATGTGGAGGTTAAGCACATGATGGTTCTGTCATCCTCTGAATTATAAGAGCAATTGAAGGTAATAGGATGGCAAGAGTAGGAGTTCCCTTACAAGAGAACATATACGAATGGACAAAACAGGGTAGGAAACATAGGTAAAATTCAGGGCAATACCACTAAGGATAGGAAAAGCCACTATTTTTTTAAAAAAAACAGACATGTTTTTATTCTAAAAATAAGGTATTCTTTAAACATTCTTTAGCATGTAAACAATTAAACCGGCTTTTAAAAATTCTTGGCTTGGTGAAAAAACAACTCTGTGTGTATGTGTGCGTTCGCGTGTGTGCATGCATGTGTGTGTGTACGTGTGTGTGTGAGCATGTAGGAAAAGTATACCCACAAGCCCCACCCTATGGCCCAGGCATTGGGTTGGATTCTACCAACATTTCTGCTCAATCTCCCAGTTTGGTGTAGTGGTTAGGAGCACAGGCTCTCATCTGGGAGAACTGGGTTTGATTCCCCACACCTCCATATGCAGCTGCTGGTGTGACCTTGGGTCAGTCACAAATTCTCTCAGAGCTGTTCTCTCAAGAGCAGTCCTCAAAAGAGCTCTCTCAGCCCCACCTACCTCACAGGGTGTCTGTTGTGGGGATGGGAAGGGAAAAAGAGATTGTAAACTGCTTTTAGACTCCAAGTGATGGGTGGGGTATAAATCCAATCTCTTCTCTTCTTCCCCTATTTGTGTCCTCACAGCAGCTCTACATCCAGAATGGCTTTTGCACACCCAGGTCACCAGCATAGCCTTTGCAGTGGTCCAAAGGTGACTCTCTTCTCCCTTTTGCCAGCAGAAAAACTGATAAAATCCAGCCTCTTCTCATCTTTTCCAACCATATCTAGCAGTGAAAGAGACCAAGCCTCAAGCCCCAAAGTCCACAGCTAGCTCTGGATGACTGTACCTACAAATATACGTTTGAAAGGCTTTTAATGGGGTTGGAAAGGTACGTGTCGAATGATTTTCAAGTGAAACAGTTTAAAAGAGTGCATGGGACAAGGAAAGAGAAGAGTGCTGTGGAGAAAGCTTGTTTTCAAATGTTTGCTGAGAGACGGGAGTGAGATAGCCTGCTAAAGTGATTCCAGATGGACCAATATTAATATCTTGCTTTCCCTGATGAATGGGAAGGTATGACCCAGATAGAAAGCTGCTAAAATTACAGGCGCCACAGAGGCTTCGCCCAGTGCCTTACCACACGGATACTTTATCCTTACCTCGGCAACTCTGATGAGACGCTCTAACCTGCTGCAGTAAGCGTTCCAGAGCTTCAATCTGTCCCCTGTGCCGAGGCTCTCTGCCATCATAGTCTTTCCAGTCTGTTGAACAAAAGAAATAAACAGAATGAAATGTAGCAGAGGAAAGAGAGAGAGATTGAGGTTTCTTTGCTCCTGATGTTTCTTGGCTGCAGAGAGAATTGGCCAACATGTCTGTTTTTAAGTTTGTCCTTGAGATGAATACTGTGAAGACTGAGCCATTTCCCTTGCAAGTTGCTACTGCTGTTACTATAATACCATCCTTTTATACATTTATTCAAGTAGTGTTAACGATAAGAATTAGGGCGTATAATATCCTGCTGCATTTATCTTCATAACGATAGCTGGTGTAGCACGAGCATGAAAGCATGGAAGAGCTCGCTTGAAATCTCAGCTCAGTTACGAACCTATTAGGCTGCATTTGGTGCTCAAATGGATAAAATGAAGATCTTTTGCTCCTTACAATGCAAACGGCAGGCTCATGCAGCCTCAATTTGCTCTGGGTTCGTGCAGGGAGAGAAGTGGTGGTAACCCCTTCAACCTTCACTCAATTTCACTATTTGAACCTAGGCTTCATGTTTTGTTATTAACATTTTAAGAGAGAGATGTTTACTTTAAAACATTCATTTCCCCCCTTTAAAATGTTGCATAAGCCTGCAACTTGCCTTTTATGGATAGAACAAGATATATCTTCTTAGTCTGGTCTGCCTGAGCCTTTAAACAAGACATTGCATTCTTAAATCCTCCTCTGTAATATACTGAGAAATCTAAGGCAGAAACAGCACAGTACGGTGGCCTGCAGAGGCTGCCTCCCAAGAGATCCTTGTAGCAATAACTTCCTTAAGGAAGTTCCTAGGTCTAAGAGTATAAGACAGGTTGAAAGGCAGTGTCGTGTAGTGGTTACAAGGTAGGATTAGGATCAGGGTTCAAATTTCTACTTATTGATGAAACTCTGAGGCTGATCTTGCGCCAGTCAGTCCTTCTCAGACTAAACTACCTGTTGTGAGGATCAAGTAGAGGAGGGAAGACTCGTTTATGCCACCTTCAACTCCTTGGAGGAAAGGTGGAATCCAAATGTGATAAGTAAAGACACAGTCAGAAACGCCAGAGCCCAACATAGTATCTTCCCCCCAATACAGGGATGATAATAACACTATAACTGAGAGGACTGTTACAGAAATACCACATGTGAAGATCTTAGGAAAAGCAATTATAGCAAATGGAGGGGGAAAACAATATGGCAGCCAAGATTCTATTTCACAACTGTTTTAGTGTACTAGATTTTGTGTTTTGCCTAAGCATCCACTAAAACTTCTTGGCTGCTTCCTTGAGTCTGATCAGTCCTAGAATAGTCATTCTTGACCACATTGATGCCTAGAAGTGTTGTGAATACAGAAAGAAAGAAAGCTTAGCTTTTAAAAAAACGAAGTGTGTTTTGTCACCTGCAGATCCTACTTTGGTAGGGCATATCTACTCAGTTCCAATAGTTAATATATGAACATTAACGCATACCACACAGCCTCAGTCTACCCAAACATCTCTGGGAGAAATGACATGTCTTCAGAAAAGGCAGCCCAATATCTAACTTCTCCCCTACAACAATGTGTGACCTAAATTATCTCATGCCTTGATTTCATGATAATTCACGTTTCCCCAATTCCCTGCCAGCAAAGGGCATTATGTGGAGGAGAGGAGGGGACAGTGTGTTTGTGCCAGCAGATGAGGCAAGGTGATCTATACATTGCACCGGGGGGGGGGACTCTATTTAGGGCTGCTTTCCCCCCAGTGTGTTTCATAGTGCTTATTTCTACACTATTTAATCATACATGAGGCAATAAATCACTCCATGACTGCTTGTTTTTAGCATGCTGCTTCTGAAAGACACATTACTGGGAATTAGAGGTTAGGAGAATGGACAAGATAGCCAATTGATCTGACAGTGTGCAAACGTAAAGTGCTCTCTTCAGGATCACAAGAGTAAATAGGGATGCCAATCTCCAGGTAGGACCTGGGGATCCCCTGGAATTACAGCTCATCTCCAGACTAAAGAGATCAGTTCTCCTGGAAACAACAGATGCTTTGGAAGGTGGACTCTGTGGTATTGTACCCCACTGAGGTCCCTGCCCTCTCCAGGCTCCATCCCTAAAACGCCAGGAGTTTCCCAACCTGGATCTGGCAAACCTACCCCCCCATCCCCTGCTGGCGGCCAATGGAGACCTAACTGAGCAGTCAAATATATTCTTCGTATAACCCATAAATCTAAGGGATGCCAAGAATGTAGTACACTTCAAACTGTGGTACAAGATCCCAAAGTGGACCGCGACTATCTCACTAGATGGGCACAAGGCCAGAAGGAAGAGGTGTAGGTTGAGCTAGGAGTGGAAGCTCTGGTAGTTTCAGTGGGGAATTTGGCTTTCCCTTTGCATAAGGTGCACAATAAGTATAACATGCACCCCATCACATACTAATTCAGTATAAATTTCCTTAGTGTTAACTGATGTGAGATTCCTGCACGTGAGGAGGCATGGAGTATCTTTGCAAGCTAGAAAAAGTACAATGCATTTAGAAATGGGTCCTGAATAGCACAGCAAGTTCAGAAGTGGGCCCCACTTTAAAAAATTGGAGAATGAGTATATTTTTCTATATATGTAATAGTGAAATGTGGCCCTCATCTATGGATATCTAAATCTGAAATCTTAACAAAATACATTGGGAAGCTTAAATCCCCCCCCCCCAATAAAAGAGCAGACAGCAGCAGACTCTGGGAGCTGCTTTGGGCCCAGCCTTGGCAGCAGTGGATTATGGGAGCTCCTCCAGGCCTGGCCGCAGTGGTGGCAGACTCTGGGAGTCACTCGGGGCTCAGAGTGGCTCTCAGACCACCACCGTTGCCACTGGGATCAAAGGTGACGTGAGGCCTGGAGCCATCCTGGGCTTAGCGATCAGCGAGGAGACAGGATTTCCCCCTGAGAGTCTCACAGGCCCAGCACTTGTTATATTTTTACTCTGTTTTCCCTCCAGGGAGCTCAGGGTGTCATACATGCTTCTCCCCATTTTATCATTACAATAACAGCATGAGGTAGATCGAGCAAGAAAGCAACTGACCAAGGATCACCCAGTGAATTCCATGGGCTGAGCTGACCACTGCTCTCCATGGTCCTAGTCTAAGACTAAAATCACTATGCCATAATGGGTCATATCCAACAAATCAACAAAGGCCCCGGTCACACTGGCCGGAAAATGGGGAGGGGAAGCGTGGCTGTTTGCCCCGGTACAAAATAACGCGTGGGTGCCCAATCACACGTGCCGTCGAGGTCCTGTGGTTAGGGCATGAGGTGCCGATCACATGGCTATCCTGCAGCACGGCAAAGAAGCGGCGTGGCGCGATCACACCAGCAATTGCTAGGAGCCACTTCCGTGGCAAACGGGAATATTTTTTGTCTCACCAAAAGGTGAGCATGCGCATGATCGTTTGTGTGCATCCTGTGAAGACTTAAAAAAAAACCTAACCAGTTTGCGATGGCACTAGGACGGGACGCAATCAGACGCCCGCCCTTGCCCCGCGTTTTCCGGAAACTAGTACATCGTAAGTACTAGTTTTTTACTCTGTATCTTCGGCACGAAGCCACGGGTTAGCCACGGGTGCACTACAATTCCCAGATGTTGTGGGGTGATCACGCCCAGAAAACCCACCTACCATTCGTATCTTTAGTGTGGCAAATGCTCCGTGTGAACGGGGCCAAAGAAAGACAATAACAGATGCATATTTTCTCCATGATTCGCTTTTGACCCCTGGGAAGATGATGTTTGGAGTCAGGGGACTTTTGTGAACAAAAAGGCCATGTATGTCAGGGGCTACAGTGAGGAAGGGAAAGCCTTCTCTTGCCTCTTCCACAAGCAGAACTGTGCTGTTCTGTCCTACCACCCTTCCTCACTGCATCCCCCAGTCCATGTGACTTCTTGTACACTGCTGGATTGGGAGTGATGGGGAAGAGAAACACTGAGAGATTTCTTTATTTAGTTTAAACATATACTGCATTTCTGTCATACACACAAAGCAGATTCCAAATACCAAAAAGATACAAAACCAACAATAATTGATTCCAATGATCAGCACAGCCCTTCAGTTTCCAAAGTTCCTTGAAAACAACTCAGACTTACATCCTTTCCCCACTAAAGATCACCAGAACTGATGTTTTCCTAGGCAGCCCATCCCAAAGGATTGGTGATGCCACTGAAAAAGCCCAAGGGTGAGCTGAAACCATCCTAATCTCCCTCCTTGTTAGGAGGACAGTTAGCACCCCCCATTGTAATGAATGTAGCACTCTTCAAGGGTTCATACTGGGGGAGGAGATCAAGCATGTCTGTCACGCTGAGACTGTTTAGAGCTTTAAAGAATAAAACCAGCACTTGGAACGAAACTCAGAAATAAACCAGGAGCCAATGGAGATGTTTCAGGGTCTCTGTAATATTTGCTAGTTCTCATCAGTAACCAGGGAGCTACATTCTGTACTCGCTGAAATCTCCAAGCCCTCTTCAAAGGCATCTTCACACAGAGCGCACTGCAGTAATGAACCTTTGCGGCTCCAACAGCAAGAATCAATGCAGATAGGTTGGCTGTATTCACAATGCAATTTTCTAGCCAGATGTAAATGAAGAAAAGCATTCCTAGCCCATGAGCTTCTCCATATGCAAGGCCACATTCAGCCACCCCAGATTCTTAACTGCATCTACTCCAACCGTAGCTACAACGGTCTAATGGTGGTTAATTTACGCCTCTCAGAGCATTGGCTTTTCTACCCAGTATCACATCCATCTCATCTCACTTAGGTCTCCCTTAGCACTTGACCACAGCCTTGAGGAATGCTCCAGAACTGGTTTGGCTACATCTGGGGTCTTAATCAGAGATGTATATAGCTGTGTGTCATCTATATATCAATGTTGTTAGCCGCCTTGAGCCAGTTCTGTGGCAAGGCGGGATAAAAATGGAAACAAACAAACAAACAGATCAATAAATATACAAACTCTGGATAATTCTTCTAGGTGACTGCGCACAGATGTTAAAC